AAGGCCCAGAGTGCCGATATTTGCTGTGGGACATCGTGTGTTATTTGGGGATTTTAAATCAATAGTTCAAAAAGTATATTGTGAATCGGTTGCTATGGAAACGGCGACCATATTGGATTTTGTATACCTTTTTCAATCCCATTTTATTTCCTTATTTATTAACCGATTCACTTCTAATTTGGCATGCCAACAGTACATATGCAGCTCTTAAATTTGGCTTGTTGAATTGGTGATATGTGCTTTAGTTTTTGTTTTATGACATTTACAATTGAGATGTTGCAAAAAAGTGAAAAAATGGAAAATTCATGCTTTCTAAGCCCATAAATCAAAAATTCAACAAGCCAAAATTTAGAACTAGGTGTTGTTGGTATACTGTGAAAGTTACATTAAAATTGAATAAGAAAAAGAGCAGAAAAATGGGATAATATGTGAAAAAATAGAATTGTGAGAAAACAGCCGATACAGGTAAGAAAAGGCTAGACAACATGTGCTTTCACTGAAAAACCTGACAAAAAAACACAGCTTCAGGGTGTAGCAAGGCTTACATACGTTTCTGAATATTGTTCAAGAAGTGTTCAGGTACTTTAATATGTAATAAACCCAATTTACAAAATTTGAGCCCCGAACACGATTTCTAGGTGCCCCACCAGCCCTTAAATGTGAGTCTAAAAGTTGGCTGGCCAATTTAAAAGCCCATAATCAAGATTGATGCAAGCTAAGGTTGTGATACGTTTTTTAAAATTAATGTTAGCCTAAAGCGAGTCAAAATCAAAATTATAGCGTATGCACCAGATACATTTATTTTAAAAGTTGACCTATTTTCATCTACACCACACTTTAACGTAAGCCTGTTAAAAAAAACATAGAACAGTACTTTTTGAGACTCACATGGGATTTGGAGATTGAAAAAAGGGGGGGGGGGTATTTACATGCCAACACTGAAATGTGTAGGTAAAGTGTTGTCGCTGTCTCAAAACCAACAATTGATTGTTGAATAATGATGTTGTTGTAACTAATTTATTGTAGTGTTCATGTGTCTGCACCCAAAAGGGCGACGTTTAATATAACACCATCCCATCCCCCTCCCG